TAGATAATCTGTTCAGGTCCCTCCTGACCCTAGCTACTATGAAACTATGAAGTAATTTATGATTGTTAGTCCTAGTTTTCCTCTGGGGAGCCCTGGTGAACAGATGTTCTCCCAGCTCGTGATATGTACCCTTTATATACTGATAGGCTGTCACCAAGTCTTTTCTTCTCCAGGCTGAACAGACCCATGTGTCTGGACCTCTCATCATATGGCCTGTTCTCCATATCTCTAACCATACGTATGGTCCTCCTTTGGACTCTCTCAAGGTTCTCCACATTCTTCCTGAAGTGTGGTGCCCAGAACTGGATGCAGTACTCCAACTGCGGCCTTACCAAGGCTAAGTAAAGTGTGAGGATGACACCTTTAGTCTTGTTTGAGATGCATTGGTAGATGCATGCCAGTGTTTTTTGTTTGCTTTTCCAGCTACAGCATCACATTGGTGGCTCATGTTCATTATATCAAAACCCCCAGGTCTCTTTCAGTTGTGGTGCTGGTAAGTGTAGCACTGCTGAGCCTGTAAGTATGTTGTAGGTTGTTTCTCCTCAGATACAGCACCTTACACTTTTAAGTGTTGAACATCATCTAATACTTGGGTTGAAGGAATCCTTTTATTGAATAAACTCTCCAAACAACAGTCCTGACTGCTCTTGTTTTGGGAGTTATGAGTATTTAATGCCTCATCAGCAGGGATCCTGGTTTTCTGTTTAAAGATCCCAAATTCTCTTATAAAAATTGTAAATTCTCTGATTTAAAACCCCCAAAATCTGCATATTTCCATGATTAAAATGACATGCCTGGGATGGATGGATGGATATATCAGTTGAACACAATGTGTTTGTTGTTTTATTGACAATCTTAAAGCAATTTCGAAGCCTACTAGTGCCTCAATCACTATAATAAAATATAAATACCTATACATTTTGGTATTTAATTTTGGTGGTTTTTTTATCATGGAAAATCAGAGCTCCCCCTGCCCCTTTCACTCACCAGGATGTGGGTCCAGCTGTAGCTGTCTGTCCCCACACTGCTTTCTGGCCTTGATTATGACAGTGCCCTGCCTATGCCATTGCCCCTCACTCCTGACCTGCAGTCCTCCTCCTCCCCCCGCCCCAGCCCTGCCAGAGGGTTCCCCAGCTGCCAGGGCTACAGGGCCAGGGACTTGGGGCAACAGTCCTCTGCAGCAGCACCCAAGCCCTGACTGCCACCTGTTGGCAGTGGTGGCTGCTGCAGCAGAATGGAGCACAGAGCCCAGTTCCCTCTCCCCCATGGGTGACATGGCTGGAGTGGAGCCTGGGGTTGGGGTGGGAGATGGAACAGTGCCAGCATTGTGGGGGGCAGCCCTTTTCTGCCCCCACCCCATTCACAAATCTGGGGGGTACATGCCTCGAGGGAGTGTGCGCAGTGGCAGGGAACCAGTCCCACTCCCCACCAGTGCCCCCTAGGCAAACTGCCCATGGGCCTGTCCTACTCTCCTGGGCCCTGTAGCTGCACATTCCAGCCCCAGGCCCCAAGCCCCACGCACTGCCTGGACTGGGCAGTGCCCCCAGTCCCAGCCTTAGCCCTGCCCAACTCGCTCCCTTTTCTCCCTTGTTATGGGGACCATATTCACCCCCTCACTCTACCACCACCACTGCCACCAGACTTACCTGCGGGAGCTGCTCTCTGGAGTTCCCGGCCACTGTGTGATTGTGTATGTATGCACATGCATATAGTGCCCCCTGCTGATTGCCCTCCTACTGCTCCACCCAGCCCCTTGCAGGCTGGAATTCTGCCTGCCTGCAAGGGGAAACCCACCTTTTCTTGCATGTTTCTCCTCAGAATGAGAATCTGGGTTTTACCATATTTTTCTGTGGCATATGCCATGGGTGACTTCAGTTACCCAGACATAGATTGGGAGGAACACTTGGCTAAGTCAGATCGTTCACACAGTTTCCTGACTGTGATCGAGGAGCTCTTCCTGACCCAGGAAGTGCAAGGGCCAACCAGAGGTAATGTTCTCCTAGACTTGGTTTTGGCCAAGGGAGATGATCTGTTGTATGGCTTGAACATTGAGGGTAATCTGGGCAACAGCGACTATGAAATTATCAGGTTCACCATCTGCCGCAAGGTGGACAAATCAACCAGCAGGATTGAAGTCCTGGACTTCAAAAATACTGACTTCGACAGGCTCAGAGCATTAGTAGGGGAGGTGATGCAGGCCCAGGAAGGGTAGGCAAATGGAGTGTACGAAGAGTGGTCGTTGCTCAAGGATACGATCCTTGAAGCACAAAAGAAAACCATTCTGCAAAGAGGAAAGGTAGCAAGAAGGGTTGGCAAGCCTTTCTGGCTTAATAGGGACATTGTGGTCGTCTTATAAAAGAAAAAAAGAGGTGTATGCACAGTTGAAGACAGGGATGGTCCTTAAGGAGTACTATACAACAGTGGCCAGCACTTGTAGGAAAATGATCAGGAAAGCCAAGGCACTGAATGAGTTTAGGTTAGCCATGGGAGTCAAGGACAATAAGAATTCCTTCTTTAGGTATGTAGGCAGTAGAAGGAAAACAAATGAAAGTGTGGGGTCTCTGGTTAACACCTCAGGACAGCTGGTTACCAATGTTTAGGAAAAGTCTGAACTCTGAATGACCACTTTGCTTTGGTATTTCACTGGACCAAGGGGAAAGACAAGTGAGATAAGACTCATAAGGGGCATGCCAGGCATCACAGTCTCCCCACTGTGGATGCTGAGTGCGTGCAATACCAACTAGAAAAGTTAGACATTTATAAGTCAGCAGGACAGGATGGACTGCATCCGAGAGTGCTGAAGGAGCTGGCTGAGATCATCATGGAACCCTTGGCAAAGCTCTTTCAGAATTTGTGGCACACAGGGGAGATCCCTGAGGATTGGAAGAGGGCCAACATTGTGCCCATCTTCAAGAAGGGGAAGAGGGAGGACAAGGCAACTATAGGCCAATCAGCCTAACCTCTATCCCAGGTAAAATCCTGGAAAATCTCATTAAAGAATCTATGTGCAATATGCTCATGGAAGGTAAGATTCTGAACGACAGCCAGCACGGCTTTGTCATGGGTAGGTCTTACCTTACCAGTCTCATCTCCTACAACCAGGTCTCTTGCCACGTGGACATGGGAGACAAGGTAGACATTGTATACCTAGACTTCCAAAGGCTTTTGATCTAGTATCCCATGATATCCTTGTGGGAAAACTGGAAGATTGTGGGCTCAGCTGCTCGATGGTTCAGTGGGTGGGAAACTGGCTGCAGGGTAGGACCCAGAGAGT